TCGCTCAATCTATCGGCAGTTTATTTGGTGATGCTGAAGACACATCCCTTTAGGGCAAATTCTCTAAGTGGTTGCACTGTTTTGGTATGCGGCATTTCAACACAAAACCTGTCTTACTAACCAACTGCAATCCAGTTTAACTAGAAGCTAATTGCCCTCTGAGTATGAAGTCATGGAGTCTCATTCATTAATAACTGTGTAAGAAAAGTTATCTTACTAATTTTAATATATGGGTCAAAGATGAAAAAATGTTTTCAAGCATCAAAACAAAAGTTTAGAACAGCTTTAATTTTTTCATACATTAGAATGTGTCCCATTTATTTTATTTTTTTTTTCCAAGCAAAAAATAATGACATTTTTTTACCATGGATTACAAAAGACACCAACTAAACTTTAAAGTAGACCCTTTATTTGCATTTAAAATGCTTTCTATGTATATAATTAGGGCTGGGCGATATGGCCAAAAAAAAAATTATCACGATATTTTTTTTTTTCATATCAGTCGATATCGATAATTATCACGATAAATGTCAAATCTTTATTTCTTTCAAGTTTAAAGCCAGATTTTTGCTCCAAAGTGAAAGTTGTAGAAACTAATTAATTTTCCTTAACAAAATAAATATCTAAATAAAAAAAATATATTTTCTTAGTTTCTGCATGTTCTACATTCAGTATAAATGCACACATGCTATAGCTTAATCAATTACATACTACAATTATATACCGTTACTCCTTTAATAAAATTCAGTGTGAATATCCCAAATTTCTGCCACAATACCATGGTGCAGTGAGTGTTACTACAGTAAATCCATGGTAAATGATGGCGATGTGTAGATTGAAAAGCCTTCTGACTGTCTCGTTGCACACAGTGTTTTTACTGTTTGGCTTTAAACTAGTTTAAATCACCAAGTCATTTGTGTTCATCGCTGAATACAAGTGCTTCACACTGGATCTCACAGCGCTGCTTAATGCTTGCATGACCGAGTAAACACATCTGCTCTAGTGAGCTCGCGCCGCGCGGCAGTTTGAACTTTGATCCAAGCGGATAAACGGTCCATGTGGCACGATTCAAATGAGTCGTGCTGTTTCGTTCCGCTTTTGGCGCATAAACATTATATCGAAAATTTATCAAATTCTTCATATCATTTTATCGAGGAAAATTATATCGCGATAATTATCGTTATCGAATTATCGCCCAGCCCTATAATATAATCATAGTATACTACTATACATAGTATACACTATTTTATCTTTGTAAATCTATTTTATCTATTGCTAGCACACTTACTAGCACTGTTATTTGTGGATGAAAATAGTTTCAAAGCCATTTTTTTCACTGTATACATAGTGGTTTATCCACTGTGTATACAGTGAAAAAAAATTATTTTAGAAGTTTGTAAAAAAAATAGAAGTTTGATAAACAATTATAAAGATTTGTGTGTCTTTACATGCACCAAAAGCATCCTTTATTGTGACAAACACTAAACCCATGGCTTTCATTGAGAAAAATGTATTGATACAAAGGGCATGGGAAATTTATTATAATGAATTTTATACTGGGATAGGATTACATGATATTTGAGGCATGATTTTTATTATCATTATCAGACTTTTGAGTGAGAACAGGTTGTCTTTTTAAATGGATGTCAATGGAAGAGAGGCTTAAGTACCTTGAGTTCAGTATGCTTTTATGAGGAAACAGCTGTTTACTGTAGCACAGCCTTCTGCTAATCTTTAATGAACTTACCATTAAACAATAATTTTAGAGCGAGCCGTATTTGGAAATTACAACAAAATAATAACATAATACACACTCTGTAAAGTCAAATGTCATTCTCAAACCTAGTTTGAAACACAATAAATAAACTTGCATTGCGTTTATTGACAGTGTGAGCAAATAAACAGAGCTGTTAGCAAATACATTATTAGTAAATTCCTACTCATTATATGTCTCTCTCTCTGTTTACTGTCATCCAGTCTTCCTGTCTTTCCCTCTCTCTGCCCGTCTGTTTTTCTCTTGCCGTCTTGTCCTTGAGGTCTTTCCCCTTCGTCAGCTTGCCAGGAACATTCACCCACCCACTGGAAATTACAGCTGAGAGAAAGAGCTGTTTTGATGCATTTATCATCCTTTCCACTGAAAACTCCTTGAAGCATGTGTCAATTTTATTAGCATGTCAGGTGGAAGCCCTTATCGAGCGCGCTGGACCCTGCAAGCTCTGGAAACCCAACGTGACGTTACCCCATGTGTGCAGCTGTCCGGAATCACAGATTAAAGGGGTCATATGACGTTGCTAAAAAAGAGCATTATTTGGTGTATTTGAAATGTGTAAAAATGAGCAGGATAAGTGTGTGTTACACTTACAATGGAGCCTAGCAAGATTTTGTTAAAGCACTTACATGAGCACTTCAGTCAGAAAAATATCTGTTAAATTCGATGTAATGTGTCTAAAAAATATTTTCTTGGTGGAGGAAGTCAGTAGTTCTTCATCTTTTTGACTCCAAGGCACAACAACACAATAATTACACTTCAGGATTTCAGAAATTTTAAGAGCTGAATGATCTTCAAGGTTCTCACTCTTTTAGATTAATTAATTTACATGAATTTTCAGTCATTTGTGATTTACTGCATAAAAGATTAATGATAAAGATTTTTTGTTGTTGCAATATTTTACTACTTTTAAAATTTATTAATTTAACAATTCTACCTGATAAATGGACTACTAGCATACTTCATATTGCCTAATATTTTTCATGTAATATGAAATGATAAATGTTTCATACAGCAGTATGATGTGTTGTTGTCACATGACCACACCATGTTTAATTTAGAAAGTGGTCTCAGGTTATCATCTCAGAAATATAAAGTTAATTAATGTTTTAATCTAGTTACAAGTGTCTTGGCAATCCAATCAGATGAAACAAGAAAAAGATTTTACAAATCACTTCTGACTTATTTGAAACATGGAAACAGAAGGTCAAGTTGGGCACTTTGTATTATGGGATGCATTATGCTCTGGCTTTATACACATTTTGTCTAATGTAGATGGGCCTACAGATACCTGTATTACATGCATACAGAAAATTTGCTGACCATGCATACAAAATACAATAAATTATATGTCTGCATGTAATATTATGTCTGTAGTCAGAATTTTATTTTATTTTATTTTATTTTACATTTGCTTCCACAGTTTAATGCCAATACAGCATACAAAATTGACCTGAAAAGATCTCACTCTTACAACCCATTAAAAAATTAAATAAACTCATCAACCCTACATCTCAAAGTTCCAAAAGTAATCCATGAATAAATCAAGCATAAATAAACCAGGAGATAGATAGTTAGATGATACTTATGTAATTTCGCAAGTATCGAGACTAAGATTGACTAAGATAACTTTTACACAAACAGGATTGCTAAGCGTTTCTTTTAATGCATAAATCACAGGGATTTGTCCTGGTTCTCAAGGGATATACTAAGAATGTCCTCATAATGGAATGGCTGTGTATAAGCTCTAGATCAGAAAGACTTTATTTCCAGTCCCTCGGCACAATCTCTTCATTCTCTTGGAATGGAAAACCTCTGCCCTAAACTCAAGATTTTATCAGAGAGGACAGGGCAGACTTTCAGAACCCACCACTGACACAATCATTTACCTCACAACCTGCACTAACAGTTACTAAAGCCCAGATGCGGAACTTCAGATCTTCCCTGCTGCGCCTGCCAAGTTTACCTTGACCGTCTACCTTAATCTATATTCTGCACTGTTTATACTTTCGCTGTCTGCTTATGATGCAAGTTTTGTGCATTTCCAAGCCTCATTTTTATCCTCTCTCTGACACATAGGGCCTGATTTACTTTAGCGCAAACCGTCTTTTGGCATTAAAATAGTACTGTCAAGATTTACTAAAGACGCGCAGTGAAGAATTAGCGCTGAAAAGGCGTGGACACAGTTATTTTTGCGCCTGACCTTATTGCATATGCATTTGTAGGAGTTTCCCTTTCAGACACAAAAATTAATGGGAGGTATTAAGCGTATTAAAATGAATCACGCAACACGATTTACTAACGTTTGTGCTCATCAAATTACTGATATGTGCGCCATTATTTAACGCCCAAAAAAAGTGTGTCAAATGAGTGATTAAACAGGTGGTATTTTGCACCTGTGTCATAAGTAGATCACCCGCACCTGATGAGCATCAGCTCTGGTTGTTTGTGACTACGCAAATTTTTGCTGTGCTTGGTATATTGCATTGGTCGATATGTAAATGAGATGTTGCGTCTGTGTTCTTTAATTAGCATGTTGTCAATAAATCACCCACATACATTTCCACGTCCATCGGTGCTGTTTTGGAATTGCATTCTCACACTATTTTGTCCTGTTTTAGTAAATCTGGCCCTTAGAATTAAACAGGATACTGTACCTTTAAGACTTTTATATGTAAATGACCTTTTTATGATTTGCTAATCTGCATATGCTACTTCACTCTCTCTGGCCAGTTGTGGTGGTTTTATTGTGAACAATATTGTGGTGGTCCATTCTCTTGTTAACTAGATTTTCAATGGTTCTCAATTTTTGTTAGTTTGTCGTAATTAGTTTGCGAAGGCCAAGCCACATGTTCTATTAGCTATTAATGTAACTCTGGAGACGAGACTGGGGTCAACTGTAACAGAAGGGCAATTGTAGTGCTCTAATTTATTTTATTATTTCGTAAATCATGAACAAGCTATTGTGATGACACTTGTTCAGCATATGCTCAGTAAAGCATTGTTTTGAAGTATAAAAATTAATTTTTTGGATGTCCGTATTAGTAGCTTTCTTCAGCTGTATAAAATTGTATTAGCTTTTAATTGTATTAATTACACAGACTAACACAGAGGATCTTGGCATTATGAAAAAATATATATACACAACCTTTTAAACCCATTTCTAAGCTCCAGTTTGTCACATAGTTTTTATGCATACTTATAACTCTTTATGTTTCTTTCTTTTTTGCAGAAACCTGCTTGACAGAGACACATTTTCCAAATCAGATCCAAGTAAGAATATCTTTCTTCTCCTTTGTTGCTCAAATGCATACTGTACCGTGAAATATGCTTATCAAACCCTGAAAAATATTTCTCATGCCATGGTTTACTATGACCTCGTATATGACAGTATGATCAACTGCTTTCAGCCTTGTTAAGAGGGAACTTTCTTCACTGTCTGAAAGCTTACACAATCACATGACTCATTGCGTTCTGTTTGCGTTTTCTCGCACTGATTGTGTGAAGTAAAGCCTCCAAGCTTCAGCTCTGAATGTGGCACGGGCCTCAGATATAGACACACTGTGGGCGGCCTGCTTATTGTAATATTTGCCTCCAACTCCACAATGTCCTTTTGAGGAGAAAATGTAAATGTCACACATTTGGCCTCGGATATCAGAGTAATCTAAATTCAGGCGAGTAGATCCACCTAAGAGATTATATTTTATGTTGTTAAAGGTGGGGTAAGTGATTTCTGGTAGTCAATGTTGATATTTCAAATCGCCAAAACAAACACGCCCCTACCCCAAAAGGGTCTCGCCCCTATTTTGAGCTCAGCCCCACACATACGTATACAACCCAGGCAACGATTATGGCGGAATCTGCTGTATTATTATCTGCTGTATTAAACATATTATCTTAGGGTGTATTCACACCTGTCTTGTTTGGTTCGACTGAATCTCAAAACTCAAGTTCGTTTCCCCTCTTGGTGCGGACCTTTTTGGCAGGTGTGAATACAGCAATCGCACTCGGGTGCGGACCAAACAACCGTACCGAGACCCAGCTGAAGAGGTGGTCTCGGTCCGCTTCCAAACGAACTCTGGTACGGTTCGTTTAAGGTGTGAATATGACCCGACCTCGATCCGACCCGATTGCAGAAATTGCGCTCAGAAACATACAGCTCGCGCACGTTGTGCTGTTGTTTGCATTTCAATGGCTTAAATCACTTGTTTTTAAACCACAATGCTTAAAAATGCATGCAAATGATGATTTTTTTGTGACCATGGCGCACAGAAACGTGACATGAGCACGCTAAATAGGCTAAAGCTTGCCGCAAAAGTTACCATGAATATGTTGGGGGAAACTAATAAGAAGATTTTTGAATTATTATTAATTAACTAGTGTTTTCTGAGTAGGTGTCGCAAAGATTAAATTGATTATCCTGACTCGCCATCTCATCATGGACGCGAAAAGAAATGCATCTTTACAGATTACATAATGAAAGAGTTTTTTTGGATTTGAATTGTTTCGTTTCATCGTATGACATTGTCTCATATGATGCTCATAAGTTTCTTCATACTGCATTAGTATCTGATAACAGCAAATCAGTAAAAGAATAAAAAATTGCTCTACGAAAGATCTCCATGATTAGCCTGTTTTACACTTCCTGGTTTCGCTGCTTGAGAATTTCTGTCCAATGAATGGATGACCTTAGCACACATGTGGTTTTGTTTACAATTTCTTTTTCACTTGCAAAAAGGGCAGTGTGAAAGCAAACCGCACCAAACAAAAAAAATTTACATTGTATTTGGTCCGGACCAAAGCAAGTGAACTAGCGGACTTTCCTTGTGTGAATACACCCGTACTTTTCGGACACACTTTGTGAGCTGACGCTTGAAACAGACAGTGAAGGAGGTTTAGACGGCTTATAGGGTGTGGAAATTAATGTGTCTTTGGCTCAAGTTAAAAGAAGTTCACTCCCATCTTCTTGCATGTTTTACCTATTCCACTGCCCGCGTCACATCTTTGTCAACACAAATGCGCATTCTGTGTGAATGGCGCTTAGCCTATATTTATGGGCCTTCACAGAGCGCATCACACGTGAGCGGTTAATCACTTGCGCCAACAAATGCGGTTGGATCATTCTTTTCTCTTTACTGTTATCACCGGCATATTGTCAAGGTGTCTAATTCTAACATTTGGTCATATTTCTCGCGATTCCTCGATTTCTAAAAAATAAAATCGTGGCAAAACAATAAATTCGAATTAATCGATAAAATCGCCCAGCCGAGTTCTCTCCAGCGCTGGAAAGCTGATCCGAAATTTACACGGGCCCCTCTTTTCCTCTTTTGTTTTTTATCCGCCATCTCTATCTTTCTGTCGTCGCTCGGCTCGGCTAATGTCGGTCCTGTGCACTGAGCGCTCTCTCCTCCACATCATCAGTAGACACGCCCCTTACTGTGATTGGCTACAAGTTTGTTTTGGTACTCGGCCCAACTCCATTTTCTAAAGCGTTTTTGAAAAAATACATACCCCACCTTTAACCTACTTCGGGTGTTTCAAAATAATTAATATTTATTCATTTATATTTTTATGAGTTGTAATGGCTTAGCTACTCTCAGATATTTTGCATAAGTAGAATACACAATCACTTATTCATTTATATGTTTGTTTAGACACTCACTCATTCAGTTCTGCTTTCACTCATTCAAACTTCCAATGATAAACACATTTTCAGTCATTAATATATATTCAATTATACTGTCACTCAGTCATTCACTCATTCATTTACTGACTCATTTTCACCCATACAATAAATTACTCACTCACTCATTTACTTGTTTATACTCTTGCTCACATTTATTTGCTTGTTTATACACTCATTCATTTACTCTTCACTCATTTTCTTGCTTATTCACTCATTATTCTTTGCATTCATTTATTTATTCACTCGTACATTCACCCTGTTTACTAATCCTAATAAACTCACCTATACATTTACTTTCTCACCCTTTCACTCACAGAATCACTTAGTCATTGACTTCTCATTGACATCAATTATTCTTTTACTAACACTTTATAATTCATTCATTCATTCATTCATTCACTCTCTAGCATCCAGTCATGAACAGTTACTCACTCATTCACTCACTCACTCACTCATTTCCTTTCTTATTAATTTAATCATTACTCAACATTTGCATTCATTCATTCACTCATTCATTCATCCATCCATCCATTCACTCACTCTTTAACTCATTAATTTAGTCACTCTTTTGACTTTCTCAAATGTCCAGTCATGATCTGTTACTCATTCACTCACTCACTCACTCACTCACTCATTTAATCAACCTTATAAACTCACCTATCCATGCACCCTCTCACCCTTTCACTCACTGATTCACTTAACCATTGACTTCTCATTGAGATCACTTATTCTTTTACTAACACTTCATAATTTGTTATTTTTCATTCACTCACTCACTCATTTTCTTTCTTATTCATTTAATCATTACACAACATTTGCATTAATTCATTCACTCATTCATTCATCCATCCATTCACTCACTCTTTAACTCATTAATTTAGTCACTCTTTTGACTTTCTCAAATGTCCAGTCATGATCTGTTACCCATTCACTCACTCACTCACTCACTCACTCATTTAATCAACCTTATAAACTCACCTATCCATGCACCCTCTCACCCTTTCACTCACTGATTCACTTAACCATTGACTTCTCATTGAGATCACTTATTCTTTTACTAACACTTCATAATTTGTTATTTTTCATTCACTCACTCACTCATTTTCTTTCTTATTCATTTAATCATTACTCAACCTTTGCATTCATTCATTCACTCACTCACTCACTCATTTTCTTTCTTATTCATTTAATCATTACTCAACCTTTGCATTCATTCATTCACTCACTCACTCACTCATTTTCTTTCTTATTCATTTAATCATTACTCAACCTTTGCATTCATTCATTCACTCACTCACTCACTCATTTTCTTTCTTATTCATTTAATCATTACTCAACCTTTGCATTCATTCATTCACTCACTCACTCACTCATTTTCTTTCTTATTCATTTAATCATTACTCAACCTTTGCATTCATTCATTCACTCACTCACTCACTCATTTTCTTTCTTATTCATTTAATCATTACACAACATTTGCATTAATTCATTCACTCATTCATTCATCCATCCATTCACTCACTCTTTAACTCATTAATTTAGTCACTCTTTTGACTTTCTCAAATGTCCAGTCATGATCTGTTACTCATTCACTCACTCACTCACTCACTCACTCATTTAATCAACCTTATAAACTCACCTATCCATGCACCCTCTCACCCTTTCACTCACTGATTCACTTAACCATTGACTTCTCATTGAGATCACTTATTCTTTTACTAACACTTCATAATTTGTTATTTTTCATTCACTCACTCACTCATTTTCTTTCTTATTCATTTAATCATTACACAACATTTGCATTAATTCATTCACTCATTCATTCATCCATCCATCTATCCATCAACCTACCCACCTATAAATCTACATACCTATTCATCCATCAATTCATCCACCTACATGTTATCCATCCATCCATCCACCAACCTATTATCCATCCCACCTTCCATCCATCCACCAGCCTACCTATCTATCCACCTACTTATCTACCTTCCTATCCATTCACCAATTCACTCATTCATCCAACCATCTATCCAACAACCTACCCACCTACTTATCTACCCATCCACTACTTCTACTTAGCTACCTTTCTATCCATTCACCAATTCACTTATTCATCCATCTATGCAACAGTGTACCTACCCACCTACTTATCCATCCATCCATCCACCCATTTGCCGGCAGCCATATCACCCTGTAGCCCAAGACTGGTTACCCACTGAAGCTAAGCAGGG